ATCTTGGGAAGAGCCTGGTTGAGGGGAGGGAGTTGGGGAGGAACAGCTATGCCTCGGGAAATAAGTTCTGGCAACCCAAAATAGAGAGGCAACAGCCTGGCAATTTGATTTCCCTTCGGAATTAGTAGGCTCTGTCCTTGGTGCAAGAAACAGTAAATGGTTTAAAAAATACATATTCGTTTGAAAAAAAAAATTGCAAAGATATGAATCAAAATAAGCATGTGTTTTGTTATCCTGATTTTCAAGAGTTTATTGTAACAAATATTCTTTGAAAAAACAGAATTTGAAGGTCAGAAAATTAAATCAGATTTAAGATTTGAGAATTTTTTCCCATATTTTTCTCTTTCAAAGTGTATATGATCAATTAGAACCTATATTTATTTTTCCTAGCTGAGGGCATGAGATGTTGGCATCTGTATTGTATTTGTTGAAAGAAATTTCCATGTAATAAGGCATTTGAGCTTCTGTTAGATCATTCACAGAAAGAATACCCAACAGGTTATAAAAAATTCTCTATTCCAAAGACCCTTGTAAACTGGAATTTTCATCCTTTTTTAAAGCAAGATCCTTAGGACAGTTGGTGGTAGGCTTAAAGAAAGTCTGTGAAGGGCACCTGGGTGGCTCAGTCTGTTGAGCATTCAACTTGATTTCGGTTCAGGTCATGATCTCAGGGTCGTGAGATTGAGCCCCACATTCAGTCTCCGAGCAAAACATGGAGCCTGCTTGAGATTCTCTCTCTCTCTCTATCCTGCTTCCCTGCTCCCAGCTTTTGGACATTTTCTCTCTCTAAAAAAAGAAAGAGAGTGTTTGGAATATGATGGACTTATGTGGCATCTGTCTCTGTCACTTGATAGTTGTGTTGCTTCAACTTCCTTAGATACAAAATGGGGATAATCTTAGGTCACTTTTAAGATCGTTAGAGATTAAATGAAATAATGCAGACAAAACTCTTGACATAGTGTCTGGTACATAGCAATTAACTGCTAAGTGGTGTTGTTGAAAACAGGGACCCAGCATTTGGTTATCACTGCATTCTGAGAACAGAGCATAATGCCTGTGATACATAATAAGGTGCAGGTGTAAACTGAAAGAAGGAAGGAAGGAGATTTATGGCTTGCTCTAGCTTGGGGTGAATGGTCAGAGGTGAGGACACTGTTTTTTACCTTCTTGTTGCGGAAAATCTGAGGTGACCCAGGAAACTCAAACAGCACACGGGAGAGCAGGGAAAACTTAGCTTTATTAATGCCAGCGGGCTCGGCGGGATTCCTTCCCAAAGACTGAGCACCCGACAGGGTTAGGAGTGGTTTTTATGGTTACAGGCAATGGGGGATGGTAATGCGGTGTTTTCGAGGTCTCTCAAGGCCTGAAAGCTTTCCCAGTCTCTCAAGGCCAAATGGCCCTTTCACCTGGAAGTATAATCTCAGCGGAGGTGTCTCAGCAGAGTGCTGGATCACCCCAGGGGACTGTTTCTTTTTCTTTTCTTATTCAAACAGGACCGGGTGTCTGGTCTTTTTCTTCTGTCTCAGTAGGAGCATTGACTTGTTATCTTATCTTAGTCAAACCAGACGGCTTGGCTCGTTGATCTTTTCTTGGCTTTAGCAGAAGCAAAGGGGAGCCAGGGATGGAAAGGGGCTGGAGCCAGGAGTCTCTCTATCCTCATTCCCATACTCTCCCTCTTCAAAGATCCCAATTACTGCAAAGATACTTTGCTTACATTTCCAAACTACTGGGGCACCTGGCTGGCTCACTTGGTAGAGCATGTGACTTTTGATCTCAGGGTTCTGAGTTCAAGCCCCACGTTGGGCACAGAGCCCACTTAAAAAGAAAAAAAAATTTTTGAAACTACTCCTCATACCAAATTGTGGTTAAAAAACAAAACAAAACCAAACCCAAATTTTAGTTAAATATATTGGAGTCAAAAGACAGAAAAGGGGTGAGGATGCAGGTGCCTGACACGGCCCCTCTTTCTCCAGAAAGGTCCAAGTTCTTGTTTTACTTGCTCACTCACTGCAGGGAAAAGACTGGGCCTCCAGTTCTCATTCATGAGCAGAATTCAGTATTATGGTCACGTTGGGATCTAGGGCTCTTTTCAGCGCATTAAATTCTGAGCACCACCAATTTTAGAAAAATCCACTGAGCTTTTTCTTCATTTCACTGTCAATTATAGGGAAAAAAAAAAAAAGGCTGCTTGATACTTCTAAAATTCTGCAGAATTAATGGCATGATATCTAGTCTCCCCCCCCCCCCCCCCCGCCCCTTTTTAAAGAAAATTTAATTGTATCAAAACAAAGAGAAGCCCTGTAGGGTTTGGATTAGTAAATGGTGTTATTCTTCTCTCTTCCCCAGCAATGCTCAGTGCTGAGGGCTGCACAGGTGGGCTCCTGGAAGCCTTCAAGGTGGCTGGCCAAGGGCAGGATTTACCCTGTACCATTTGACATTCAACACTTAACACTGAGGGCAGAGAAGACCAAGGGCATTCAGAGATGGGGCAGGGCTAGGTCTGGAAGAGGAGGGCTGGGGCCTCGGAAGATGAGGGAATGGGTAGCTTGACTGGGATTCAGGAAGCCTGTGAGTGAGGAGGCAATTAGGAACGGATATGGATGAGAGCCAACCTTGTGGCGCTCTGGGCAGTGGGATTTCTTCAGGGGGCTTCGTTCCAACTGGGTCTTTAAGGATGCTACCTTTTCTACAAAGCCCGTCCTAAAGCCCTACTGGAAGTCCCACTACACTTACATGTCCCTCTTTTAGAAGACTTACAAGACTTCTAATGATTCATTAACTTATGTACATGTCTCATCTCCTTCCTTGAAGGCAGAGGGGAAGGGCGGCTTCCCTCCCAGACTAGCTGTGTAATTTGCAACAGCACCACTGGTGTTGAAATGAAACATGCTAGGTGCCACAAACCCGGGCCTGAGACTTCGTATCTGGGTAGAGGAACTGCTTTTACAAGGGGGTGAGAGGAAGAGGAGGGCAGAAAGGAGACAGAATCTTGGCACGTGCTGCACTGGGAGTGAACTGGGTCTCACATTGTCTCTGCCTCCATGTTCAACCGCAGAGCTGAGAGTTTTTCAGTTTCAAAGTCATCAAGTCAGAATCTTGGAAACAGGGGAGAGATTTAAGGGGTGCTGAGAATGACTTTGTTAGACTCTCATTTTAACCCAGGCCTTCAGCTGGTCCTATCCCTTCGGAGTCACCAATAATCCTGCCTTTCTCTGAGAGTTTATTGGGGATTCCCTAAAGGGCAGGGCAACTGGGAGATAAAATGAGCAAAAGCTCAGGCTGAAAAATTCCTCATTAGCAGACTTGGGAAAGGTCTGCCGAGAATGACCCTGAAAGGTGGGCAGAGATGCCTCTTTTGGGTTAATGACTGGCTTGGTCGGCGGGATTCCCCAGAAAAACACTGAGCAAGAAGCCTCTTTTGGATTAAGGACTGGCTTAGTCGGGTTCCCCAGAAAAACACTCTGAGCAAGCATTTCCATACAGTTAGCTTATTTTGGGAACAAATCCCAAAGAACAGGAGTGGAAGGGTAGGAAGATCAGGCAAGCAAGGAAGAACAGAAAAAAGCAATCCAAGTGTGCAGGACTGAACTGGTAAAGTTGGGCACCACCGTGGGCAACCGGGGCTCTGTCCTCTTAGGAGCTACACAGAATGCACCTCAGAACTGCCCACCGGAAGAATGGAAGAGGGGAATATTTCTCCACCAGTTCCCTTCTGCCTCAAAGCATGTCTCTAGCAGTGCTAGTTCTTTTGCATTTGCAATTTTGCGCATGCGTCAGAATGGGCAGGGCTTTCCCACAGGGGTCCTTGGCTGCTTTGACTGCGAAGACCAGAGCTGCGAAGGTGCAGACCAGCGAAGGTGCAGCTGAGGCAAGGTGCTCTCAGGTAACACCTGAATTCAGTCATTTGCCATAGCAAAGCTGGAATAAAAAAATAGGCTGGGAAGCTGTGAGGTCAGCCAAAGGTTTAGTCTGATATAACTTCAGGTCCAGTGTCCTTTCCCTGTTTTCTATTACTAGAACTACATTTCCGTTCAATTCTCAGTCCAAAGTCAGGACCTCTGATTTTTCTAGGTGGAAACGGTAATTCTTCCTTTCATTAAAAGCTTTTCTAGCCATGCATAACCCTCAAAGTGTAACCAGCAACCCAGTGTAACGATTTATGTCATGGCTGTGGCATGGCGTACAGAGCTAGTATTCTGAAACACAACACCGAAGAAAAGTACGCTGGCTTCAGTTTGTCTGTAAAATGGGTACAGAGAATCAAGTGCATCCTGCCTTTGTGATCCTTCCATTCTTCAAGACACTATTGTGTCAGGAGCTGGGGATAAAGTAGAAACAGTAACTCTCAAGAAGCCCGTGGAACCGAGCTGACAAGTTTCTTCTAAAGTCCCACCAGGCCAGCACTTCCGTCCCTTTTTCATCTGCCTGGTCCCTTTCCAATCAGCGTTTCTGTAATTTGACGTTAACATAGCCCCTGTCACTAATTTGTCGACAGTCTCCTTCTCTCCTTAGGCGGCTTTTCATCCTAGAAACTTGGCGCGGTCACCCGGCTCTGTGGCCATTTCCCCTGACGTTTATTGTTTAAACTCTGGGACCTGTGCTTAAATTACCTTTAAAGAGTCATAGGAGCAATTCTTTAAATGCATTCCATCCGATCAAAAGACAAATATAAAAACCACCCAACGAACTCCGATGAGTTCGAAAGTCAGCAAACACGCACAGAAGCTGGAAGAAGCCTCACTCCTCACCAGGTTCCCTCAGTTCCTGGTGCGGCACCTGCTCCTCCCAGCTCGAGAGCCCCAGACTCTCCAGAACGCGGCTGGCGGTGGAGCTCAGCGCCTGGGAAGGGGTTTATCTTGGGCTGGGAGCCAGATTGGGGGTACCCTCTGCGGGAGGAGGGCTGGGCGGGACGCCAGAGAAGGAAGGAAAGAGCGCAGGAGCGCTCCCCGCCCCGGCGACGCCCGCGGTCCGCCCCGCCCGGCTCTGCCAGACAGCGTGCACCCACTGTGTCTAGGCTCGGCCGCCTCCCGGAGCCGAAGTAGGAAGCCGCAGTAGAGGGAGCGTGTAGAGGGGCTTCGAGAAGGAAACGGCGGCAGCGCCCCCACCGGGCCGTCCAAGCCAGGAGCGCGGGTACCAGCGAAGCGTTGGGCTCAGGGGAACGCGCCGGCTGGGCCCTCCGCGGCCGGAGCCCCTCCACCCATTTGGTCTGGGGTAAGAGGAGGGGTCCGCATCTCTGCAGCTCCCGCGGCAAGCGCCGACGCCCTCTGCTCAGTTTGGTTTGGCCTCGCGCGGCCATACGGGTGGGGATGTGGCACAGATTCCTGTAGGTCTGGCCCTGCAGCTGCGGCCGGGGTAAGGGTGGGAAGATGGACGGATCCTGCCCAGATCCGTCTCAGTCCCAGGCGGCCCTCACCCACCGCCTTCCGGGGCCTTCAGTCCTCGCTCTGGGAGCCCGCCTGGCGTTTATTATTAGGCAAAATGTGCTCGGGAGGAGTCCCAGGTTGAACCCGCAGCCCCGAGGCGCCCAGGGGAAACCCTCGGGCTTCATCCTTCCCCACCTCCGCATTAAACAGAAGACCACCCCGGCCCCCGAGTAGGGAAGGAAGCGGCCCAAAGTCATCTCGTAGTCGGAAACCGAGCCGGTACCGAAGCTGGTCGTTCCAGCCCCAGGCTGGGGCCGCCCCTTTCTTCACTGCGTCTCCCTCCTGCCCCACGTTGCGTCCTCTGCGAAGCCCTGTCCTCAGGACTTGGGGAGTGCTCCCTCCCCCCTTCCCCCCACCGCCGCGGCCAGGGAAGGACGGTAGAGAGCGGTTAGGCTGCCGGACCAACCGCCTTGATCACGAGCTGAGCCTGCGGCTGCTGGAGGACCGAATAGGCAGCCGGACGGGGAGGGGGCCGGGGCCGGGGAGTGGGGGTGGGGAGCACGGTGGAGGCGCCGCGGGGGCGGCCTGGGTTTGGGATGTCCGGGTGGTTGTAGGCCCGGGCACGCCCAGTCGCGGGCCCCGACTGCCGGGCTTTGTCTGGGTGGTTCCGTCTCAGCCAATGGGAGCGCGGCTCGAGCCGAGCCCCTTGGCTCCCGCCTCCCGCCTTCAGAAGGAACTGCGGCCCTGCGATTGGCTGCGCGGCCCTCCGCGCGGGGTGGAGCTGGGTGGCGCGGGCCGCTCGCGGGCCGCCCGCGGGCCGCCGGGCTTCTGCTTGAGTCCATGAGTTTGCGAGAGAAGGTGTCCTCCTGGCTGTCGGTCCGCAGCCGCTTCGGGGCGGGTTTGGCTCTGTTCGCGTCGTTGAGCCCTGCGCGTTTTTTTCCAGCCCGTCGGCCAAAATCGGCCTCGAGTCAGCTGATGCAGTCACGGGCTAGCCCGGGTTGGGGGGGTAGTCGCAGAGGCAAGTCTTTCATTACGGAGGGCTGCTCGCAGGCCTCCTGCAGCCGGGATCCTTCAGGACGCAGCATATGTCCCACTTTCTACCTGAGCCTTGGAGCCCGGCTTTGCATGGGTTTAAATACACCGCTGGCGAGCGTGGAAGCTGACCTTTGGAATTGCTGCATATTTCATACTCTCTCCATACACATATGCATAGAGTCTGTTTCCTGTCAGACACCAGAGTAGGTATTTTGGAGAAGGCGGAAGTCAGTGCTATAACACGTGGACCCTATCTGTGGCGAGCGCACAGTCCAGGTGGGAGTTGGTGGATAGGGGCTATGAGTGCTTATAAGCAGAAATACATCTAATACTTCTTGCTTAGGTAAGTGCTGTTCTAAGTGCTATTACAGAGGCACAGAAGGAAAGGATGGAATGGAACTGTAGGCCAGAGACTGATTTTTTAAAGTCAGGGCATCAGGAAAGGCATCTTGGCGGAGTGTTCTTTGAATCAGCACTTGGTCTTCGGAACAAGTCAGATGTGGTATGGAATGAGCAAAACATGGAAACTGGAGAGTACAGGGCTTCTTGAGCGATGGTATAGCAAATGGTAATGAGTAGATGAGAAAATTATAGTGATTTGGAGGCCCAGGTGAGGCCCGGCTTGTATACCCTGATTTGAAATGTGGTAAGAACTTATGAATAGAATGGCTCTTTAATTTGTCAGTTGTGCTGATATAATAATAATTATTATTATTATTTGACATCTGCACCAAAAATCTTGGAAATATCTTTGATTTTTTGTTCTTGCACATTCTACATTAAATTTGTCTGTTAAATCATATGGGGCTCTACCTTCAAAAGGTAGCCAGACTCTGACCACTTCTAGTTACCTTCATGGTTTCCACCAGGGCCCGCAACCCTTCTGTATTTCTCCAGAGAGTACCTTTGCACATTTCACTGGACTTGTGCAGTGCACAACCTTCATGGCTATAAACTGTGGCTCTGGATTACTGCCTCAGCATGTAAATGGTCTCCCTGCTTTTGCCTTTGTTCATCCTCAGTTTATTCTTAACCCAGTGAGGCTTATTGTATTAAAAAAGTAAGTCTGGTCATAGTATACCTCTGCCTAGAAGCCCCTTAAGTAATTCACATATTATGTGCCTACTGTACAGAGGGCAGTGTTAGGTGTTGGGGGTATGACAGTGACCAAAGCAGACAAAATCCCCTGCTCTCAGAGTTTACGTTCTAATGGGATTGCAAGATAACAAATAAGATAAATAAGTACAGTGTGTATAATGTTAAAGTGTAGTAAGTCAAGGGGGGGGAAGGAGGGAGGGGAGGGGGAATAGAAAATATCATGGGGGGGGTGGAATTGATGGGGTAGCCAGAGAATGTCTTACTGGGGAAACATTTGAGTAAAAGATTGAAGTGTGAGAAGGAGCCTTGTGGATAATGAGGGGATAGAATATTCCAAGTAGAGGGGAAAGTAAGGGCAAAGTTTCTGAAGCAGGAGCTTACTTGTCATGTTCTAAGTATAGCAGGAAGGCCATTGTAACCAAGGCGCAGAATGGTGGGGGCGGGGATGAAAACCCAGATCGTGGAGGGACTTGGGGGCAATCTACAGTAATTTTGGCTTTTACTGCCAGCAAGAGTTTGGTGCCGGAGTGACACGATCTGGGTTACATTTCACAGAATCCTGCAGGCCCGTGTTGAGCAGTGTCTGAAAGGGGACAAGGGTAGAAACAGGGAGCCAAGTTGGGTGGCGACTGCAATAATCCGGGCAAGAAATGAAGACGGCTTAGACAAAGATGATAGCAGGGGCTCTAGACGCATTGTGAAGGTGGGGACAGGATTTGCCGACAGCTTGGCTGCAGAGTGCAAAATAAAGAAGGATTAAGAATGAAGAAGACGTAGAGAAACAGGTACTCAGTGCCATAGCACAGGCTCGATTTTGGACAGGTTATTATTATTTTTTTTAAGATTTTTAATTTATTTATTTGACAGAGATCACAAGTAGGCAGAGAGGCAGGCAGAGAGAGTGAGAGAGAGAGAGGAGGAAGCAGGCTCCCCGCTGAGCAGAGAGCCCGATGCGGGGCTCCATCCCAGGACCCTGAGATCATGACCTGGGCCGAAGGCAGAGGCTTTAACCCACCACCAGGCGCCTCTGGACGGGTTATTATAAGTTATAATAGATAACCTATTAAACATTCCAGTGGAGCTGTTGGATGGGCAGGTGGCTATGTGAATCTGGAGTTTGGAGGAGAAGGCTGGTTGGAGATAAACATGTAGTAGGAGTTGGCAGCATATAAATCCTATTTAAAGCTCTGAGCACTCATGATGGGTGTGGGAAGAGCCCACCAGTGGAGCCCTGAGAGTCCCATCGTTTAGGGGTCTGACTTGAATTTGATAGGTGACCCCTATTATCCTAGGGGTGGAGTTCCTGCTTAAGCTGGCACTTATGGCCATTTTGACAGCTCTAATACTTTCTCTCGGGGCAGGACAGATGAGAAGTAGAGAGGGGGAGACACGGTTTCCTGTTATCACTGCCAAGATCTATTGGCATTCTCAAGATGGGGCAAGCTTAAGAATTAGTAATAATGTTCTCTCTGCTTCTGTGCATTTTCACTGGTATTGTTTTGGCCACAAGGAACAGAGACTTTAAGCTTATTTAAATCCCATGGAGAATAAAGACCTTGGGTGCCTTGCAGAGCTGGAGGACAGGAGGGCAAATGGGTCTCAAGCAGCTCTTTCAGGAGGAGGCTCTGCTGTTCTGTTTCTCTTGTTTCTCCCTGTCCATCTCTCCTCCTTGCTGCATGTGTGCCTGACTCTTCTCTCTGCAGGCTGGGTTTCTCCATCCTCTCTGGCTTCGGGGGCAGTGTAGCACAGCTGCTCCCCCAACCCCACCTGCTAATCACTTGTCCCTGCTCCGGACCCCCAGGCTGATTTGCATTCTTTCACAGCGCCAGGGGACAGAATGATGGGTTCTCTCCCTGACCCAGTCCTCAGTGACCAGAAGGGAGGTCTCACTGGCCAAGTGTAGCTGCGGAGGCCAAATCCTATGGGCGAGAGACAGGTCTGAAAGGGCAGGGATCGGGTGAGCAGGACAGACACCTGAAAGATCACCACTTCAGAGAGTGTTGGTGCTGTGTTATCTGAGGAGAGCTGACATCACCTGACTTTAATCAGGTGACTGGACTGTCTCTCAGACTAATGGAAGTGCCTGCGTTAGGTTTACCTTCACCGAACTGGGCTGTATTGGTAAATCCTTGGCTTTTACTGAAGGTCTCTGTCACAGAGAGCTGTATGAGTCGCCTCTGCATCTGTGATAAAATGGTAGTGAGACCATTGTCTGCTTTATCATTTAATGTTCCTCTATAATGCTTTTAGACTTTGGTTCCAGAATAGTCCTCTCTCTAAGGAATAATGGTCATCTTTTTTGAATTAGGGCTTTAAGCCTTGGCAGGTTTTCCCTTTTGCATGGCCTTATGGAAGCCCTGTTAACTATGCAGTTAGCATGTGTAGCTGAGCTGGCCTGGAACTTTCAGGCAAGCCTGTGCTAAGTAACAAGAAGGGAAATGGCCAAAGGAAAATATATCTCTGAGTAGGGATTTCAGACTCAAATGCCCATAGAATCCAGGAAGTTAACAAAGGTAATTGTGGGGAGGTTTAAGATAGATAGTAGGTGTAAACTTTGTGTTGTGTTAAAGCATAACTTAGCTGCCTAGTTACATTGCCTTTTAAAACACTAGGCTGGCCAAACAGAAACAGCCAGGTGGAACACACTGGAGGCAGGCTCCCGGTTGTCAGATGTTCGAATCTCACACAGAAGCTCACTGGTCTTAAGCTCTTTAGTGTGGGGTTCCTACATAGGAACATTTCTTGCCTAAACCCATCCTGCCCTCCTCAGTAGGATAGGGGCTACTTTTCCCAAGAGGTAGTGCCAAGACCCATCCAGACTTCATGTCTGAAGACACATACATTCTCTTTCCTGCCTAAGGCCTGCCTCCTGTGTTCCTGTTGCCTGCTGATGACCTCACTTTTTCCAAGGATTTCAGGGTGGGGAATGTCTGTCCCTTGCAAGAGAGACCTTGATCCTAACCCACAGGAATGCAACCAAGTAGCTACGTCCTCCGTGAGTTAGTTCTGTCAGCATGCCACAGGGGAGCCCAGCACTGGGGCGAGGATGCACACACTATTTTTTTGGAGAGAAGGTACATACCACAGGTTATGCATGGGTGCCACATTGAAAATGGAAAGAGGGTGCCCTGGAGAGTAGACCCAGGTGCTCTTAGTATCAGAAAAGTTTCTCCCTTGGGATGCCTGGTGGTTCAGCCAGTTAAGTGGAGAGTCTGCTTCTCCCTCTCCTTCTGCCCTTCCCTCTGCTTGTGCTCTCTCTCTCTCTCTCTCTCTCTCAAATAAAAAAATAAAATCTTTAAAAAGAAAAGAAAAGAGAGGAAAAGAAAATTTCCTCCCAGATTCCAGATTGGCATGTAAGCATCTTGATTTCATGATAGTATCTTATAAGTTTGGTCCCTGGCAGTCAAGTCCTCTGTGCCAAGTTCCCCTGGGGCAGCTGACTGGGTTCAAGGCCCAGGAGACTGTCCCCCACCTACCACCCCCAAAGGTGTTCTGCCTTCTTGCCACTCGCACCTCTCCCAGCCACCTCTGTTTCCAAACCGAAAGGCAAGTGAGGGCTTTTCAAGTTTGAGAACTTCATATTTACAGAGAAGAAAGCCCAGCACCAGGCATTAAGATGGCAAACATCCCCAAAGCCTGCTTGGGAATCCCATGGCCTGTAGCACTGTGTTTGCCGTGGGGAAAGCAACATGTTTTAGAAACTTAAAAAGGAAGAAGAGATCTAAAATCCTACTGTTCTGTATGTCAGAGAAAATGTCACCAACAGCGCATTATTCAAAGGGCCGAGTTTTCATGTATTTTAAGCTATTTTTACTCGAGCACTTTCCCATAGTGCTGACTTGAGGGAAAATAAAATTGAAAGCAGCCCTCTGTGTGGAGATAATACTGAAGTCATCTCTGCCAAGGCACTGAGCAGAAGGGATGAAGGGCTTTAATTATAGACTGCTGGATTTGGAGTGCCCCAGTGGCAGTGAGCTCAGACTCCAGTCCTGAGGAGAGAGGCTGAGGTGCCTGAGCTAGGCCCACTCAGCTGCAGGGGCGGGGGAGGGGCGTGCCCCCTGGCCTTGTGCCTTCTCTGAAGGGCCGGTTTGGGCTCTGTGTTGCTGTTGCCTGCCGAATGCTCGCTGTGGTAACTCTAGTTTTGGCTCCAGGCCACCTTTCTACACACAGCTCACCCCACTCTCACTGAACGCCTCCTTTGTGTTAGGCTTCTTCCCGGCATGAGGGATGTGGACAAGGCTCCTGTCCCCTCCAAGCTTACGATCCAGAAGGGGAGGATAAAGTAAAGAAACATGGTGGTTTGGGATTGAAGAATGATCTTACAGAGAGCAGGCTCTGTGCGCTGCCTGGGGGATCTGGGACAGCCCCTCTGAAGTCTGAAGAGTCAGAAGGACTCAGCTACCTAGAGTGAGGGAGGAGCAAAGACTGGGGCCCTGAGGCAGGAAAGAGCTTGGCACACATACCAGAAGCTTTCAGAAGGTCAGCGTGGCCCAGGGTAGCGTGGTACCAGAGGAGCCTGGGAAGGGAGACAGAGGTCTGTGCCCAGCAGGCATGGAGAAGAGGCTTTTAGGCAAAGAAGTCACATAAGTTGACTGATATTTTATATATATATATAATATATATATATTATATATATACACACATATTATATATTATAAATATATGATATGATATTATAAATATATTTTTATATATTTTACATATATATATATTTTTAAGATTTTATTTATCTGAGAGAGAGGCAGAGAGCATGAGTAGGGGAAGGGAGAAGCAGACTCCCCACGGATCAGGGAGCCTGTTGGGAGGCTCAATCCGAGGACCCTGGGATCATGACCTGAGCCGACGTTTAACCGACCAAGCCACCCAGGCCCCCACTTGATGGATCTATAAAGATCTTTCTGAGTACAGTGCTGAGAATGCTGTGGTGAGGAGGGACAGGAGTGGAAGCAAGAACCTGCCGTGTAGTCCGGGAAGGATCACACAGGCCAAGCAATTCCTATTTGTTTCCTTTTCTTGAGGATTGAACAGATCAGACACCTCCACCTGCTGCCCACAGTGAACTGTGCGGTAGTTGGCTAGATAACGAATTGAGTTCTTGACCAAGTGGCCCTGGTGGCTGGTCCTTAGTTGGGTTCAGGTGGCAGCACGAGGGCCTGGAGGAGCTGCCTCCCAGGCACAGCCCTGTTCCCAATAACAATGTTGTAACAAACTACAGGCAGATGTGCAAATGAGAGGCTAGGATGGTCCACCAGGAAAAGACCAGCAGCTCCTCTGGCTGTGGTTGCCTTGCTCAGCTCCCTCCTGGTGCCCCCTCCTCCCCCCCACCCACCCCCAGCCCTCCAGCCTGGAGGGCCACTAAGTTAATTGTGCACAGCTAGTCCTGGTGCTGAGTAGCCTTAAGGTAACTTAAGGTGAGACCCTGTGGTACATGGCCTTGTTGGAATAAGGTTGATGTGACTTCAGAAGAGGGTGGGGCAGGTGTGAGACTCAGTGTGTGTGTGTGTTTTAATTAAGGTTGATGGAAGTGTGTCTCACCTTCTAGCTCCAGTCTCCAGGCTCCAGAGCTACTGCTGAGTTGAGCGTCAGAGCCAGACCCTATGTGTGGTGGGCTGGGGGAGAAAGGGGCTGGGTGGAGCCCAGTGATTTGTGCGGGGCTGGAAGAGCTGCACTTGGAGGCCTGTGGCCAAACAGCGTGCAGGTTGATGCCCGGGGTCACCACAGACTGATGATCTGCTGGTTATGGGGAACACAGATGAGAATGGGGCTCCGTGAGGCTCCATGACCCATGGGGTGGGTCCTCAAGTGTCCCCTGTGGTTGATACTTCACTTGGTTGTCAGATCACCTGTCCGGTCCCACCTTCTCACGTTACAGGTGGGTGACAGCCCGCCCATGGTTGCCCAAGGAGGTGGTGGCACAGCCAGAACTAGAACGCAGTTCCTGACTTTTTCCATCATAGGAAGCAGCAGCTTCATGAGGGATGTGCGGGAGGACCCTGCCTCAGTCCCGAAGGGTATGCCCATGGAGGCAACAAGGCAATGCTGAGGGTGCATTTTGTGTTTCAGAACCCACCAGAAGGCGATCCACCGTTCTACCTCTCGTGGCCACCATGCTGTCCATCCGCCTCTTCAGACCCCTGTCACAGCTGCCAGGGAGAACCCTGAGTTGCTATGACAGAGAAAATGGAACAAGGTAAGAAGCAAAAGGCTGGGGGTGCCCTTGAGGGTCACAGTTTGTGAGCAAAACAGAGTTTGTCACACATGGATGCTGCAGGAGCTAAGAAGGCCTGACTCTCAAAAGATGTCTGTCAGTTCCTGCTGTCACCAGCAGAGGAAACAAAGTTGTCCTCAGAAGACAAAGACCTTCACAGGGCACAGAAGATCTTTCATCCCTGCTTTGTGTTTTTCAGCTTTTTCTTTTGAAATAATTGCCCTTATGTGAAAGTTGCAGAAGGAGTACAGAGAGTTCCTGTATCTCCTTCACCTCACTTCCCCGTATGTTGACCTCTCACAAACCGTAGTGTGACCTTATAAACCAGGAAGTGACTGCTGCGGTAATACCGATGAACTAATCTGCTGATGCAGATTTCACCAAGTGGCCTACTAATGGACCTTTTCTGGTGGGCTCCCACAGTACCTTTAGTTGTCGTGGGTCCTCAAACTCTTCCTACTGGGAATGGTTCTTCAGTCTTGGTTGTTCATGACCTTGCCACTTTGGAAGAATGTCAGTTAGGGTTGTGTGGTGTTTCTTTGTGTGTACATTCATATGTGTGTGTGTTTGGAAGGACCCCCCCTTAAGTGAGGTGACGCCCCACTTGGAAGGAACATTGCATCAGGAGGCATAGAGCTTTTTTTTTAAGATTTTATTTATTTGACAGAGAGAGAGAGAGTACACGCAACGGGAGTGGCAGGCAGTGGGAGAGGGAGAAGCAGACTCCCCGATGAGCAAGGAGCCTGATGGAGGACTCGATCCCAGGATCATGACCAGAGCCAAAGGCGGATGCTTAACCGACTGAGCCACCCAGGTGCCCCAGAAGGCATAGAATGTTGATGTGTTTCAATTCTTTGATCACTTGGATAATTGCTGTATTTAAATCTTACACATGAAACCAGTTAATGAAAATGTCCCAAGGTTTCCTGGAATGGTTTGAGTGATTTAGAGAAAGCAGTAAGTACAAATTAAATAAGTAGCTCTTCTTTGAGAACTTCTGGAATTGCCTTTTCCAAGGGGATTCAGAGTGCTCTATTACCCCATTTTCTTCTTTTGCAGCCAGAGCAAGGAAAAAACAATATGCTTTCTATTCTTTTATATTTGAGAGGAGTGAAATTAAGGGTCAGGTGAAATGTAAAGTCTCAGCAGCTAGAAAATCAATGGATATTTTCTCTGCCAATAAATAAGTCTGTCTGGAAGAACATGCATTTAGGCTTTTAGGACGATTTGCTTAAAAGCATTTCCATGGGCTACAGAGGCTTGGTTGGAAACGGGCTTCAACTAGCAGAGGACATCATAGAAGAGGAGAATGAAATGGCCTTTCCCACAAGGGCCGTATCCCCTGGAAGGGGGAATGGAGCCCAGCTCTCTTGAAGGACTCTGACCTGACAGCCTGCCCTACTTACTGGCTCTGCATAGCCCTCGGATTTTGAGTTTCTGGCTTCAGTGGAAGGCTCTGGTGCTGGCCCCGGAGAGGTGAGTTACTGATCATTTCCCACCTCCAGGATCCTGTTTACACAAACCAGCTGGGCCGGTGCTCAGCTCCGCCTGCTTGGGCCTGACACGCAATACTCCAGGAGAGCCTGATCTGGGCAGAGTGGAGAAGGGCTCCTTTATCCCTTCCAGCCTTGGCTCCTGTAGATTCCGTTGGCAGCCACATCCCTTAGGATTCATGGTTGACTGGACTGTATTGTTTTTGCATATGCTGCCGCGTGAGGCCATATTTCTCCCAGGCTGCACTCTGTCACTGACATTTGTCCCTCCTAGACCCCATCGTCTTGGTATAGTCAGTCTGTCCAATTACTTAATCATGACTCCTTGCTGCAGAAAGCTGGGTTATTGTGGCTGATTCATGATGGAAGAGACACAAGATGGAGAAGAAGCCAGAATTGATGCCCTGGCCAGCATGGGGTGGTGTCTCAGATGTGGCCTGGCAAGTTCCTGGATGCTCTGGGGACCAGGAGGTTCTTCCACAGGCCCTTGGGGAAAGTGCCAGGTTGTACCTTCTCTGCCCCATCTGATTGCACTTGTAGGTTAGGACAGCAGTCGGTGAGGTCTTCTCTGAATGTGGCTGCTGCCTCTTTGGGGTTCCACCCCTCAGAACACTGACTGTCCTGAGCTGAACTTGTACCACCTGCAAGACAAGCATGGCGGCTGGAGTAAGGGGTGGGTTGACCCACAGCTTGCTGCCACTTCTTCGTGCTGAATCAGAGTGTCAATGGGAGGGACCTGGGAGTCTGCATTTTAACATGCTTCCCAGATGCCTGTCAACTGAAGCTTGAGAATGGAGGTAGTGAGGCCTTCCCAGGCCCAGGGACCCTCCAGACTGAGAAGCAATCCCAAGCTGGGGATCCTGCCGCATCTGCAACGGCCATGGGGCAAAGGCTGGGAGGCCAGGCCGTCCCCAGCAGGATACTCTGATGTTGTGGGAGCTTCCCCATGCTCACACTGGCTCCATTCACTCAACTTGTCAGGGTTCTGCCTCTTAGCGGTGGGTGTGGAGGGGTGGAGCATTGTGTTCTCTGGAGAGGAGGAAATCTCCACTGACAGCTGGGTTTGTTTGAGTTATAGAGCTTACTGTAAGACACCCAAAGAGAGTCAAGTTTGGGCCTGAAAAGTATTTGAGAATGGGGAGGTAGATTAGAAAAAATCTGGCAGCAAATCAGTTTGAAATAAATTCTCTCTCTTGCTGTGACCTTTCTGTTACTTTTTATATTATCAAGTAGCACAGAGGGAACTTGCAGGGAAAGAACACATAAAATCTGGTCCAGGAGAGACACGTTCTTTTTGCAGATTAACCCCTGAGGTCTTGGGGAAAACAGTGATTCTCTTTGAATAAAGTCATTTAACTACCTTTGGGTGTACTAACCATACCATTCCGCTCACACTTAAGACCACCATGCTCCAGGACTTAAAATCCAAAGAGACTCTGCTGTGGCAATTCAAAAGGACAGGAGTTTACTTTGGCTGACTTTCCTAGTGGACCCTCGTTTCTGTCTAGTGAACCCATTGTTCTTAAGAATGTTGGATAACACATTTTTAAAAAAGTATTTTTTTAGGGGCAGAGAGAGTGGGAAAACCAGACTTCCCTGCTGAGCAGGGAGCCTGACACAGGGCTCCATCTCAGGACACTGAGGTCAGACCTGAGCTGAAGGCAGCTGCTTAACTGACTGAGCCACCCAGGCACCCTGGGATAACATATTTTTATGAATATTTTAAAAGCTTTGTGTTTTGAATAGGTAATATATTCACATAGTACAAAATAGTACATGGTAAAAAGCAAATTTATCTCCTACCTCCTCTCCCCTGTTCACCAGCTGCTCAGGTGACCCTGCCACCTCTATTTACTGTTTCTGGTTTAGTATTCATTTAAAAATTAACCGTACTTTGGAGCACCTGGGCGGCTCACTTGGTTAAGCGTCTGCCTTGGGCTCAGGTCATGATCTCAGGTCCTGGGATTAAGCCCCATGTCAGGCTTCCTGCTCAGCTGGGTGTCTGTTTCTCCCTCTCTCTCTGCCCCTTCCCCCTCTCTTGCTCTCTCTCTCTCCTCTCAAATAAATAAATAAAATTTTTAAAAAATAGCTTAAAAAAAAACGAACAGTACTTCTTCTGGAAAGATGGAGTAGATGTATTTTTCTCTGTTCCTCCCATTGGATACAACTAAAGCCCCCAGGTTATATAAAAAGGCATAACAAGACTCTAGAAGATGGGGAGAAGAAGATGGATCAGCTAGGGACCTCAGGGCCCAAGAAACAACACAGTGATGAGCTCTTTAGGTTTTCTTTGCCCTTCATCTACCCCACACCTGGAGCTGAAGTGGCTGGCAGCACAGAAATGACAGCTCAGGACAAAAAGCCCCAGTAGGAGTCTGCTCTCTCTAGCCCAAAGACCGGCCTAGCAAGACAGAAAACTGGAGACAGTAATTGCTCTACTCCAGCCAAACACCACAGGAAGTGCTATGGCTCCACCCCTCCCTGCACCTGCAAAAGCTGTACTGAGCCTCAACCTCCAGTTCACCCCGGCTGTAGTGGGGTACCCCAGTCCCTTCAGTAGAGGTAGTATCCGAGAACGCCAAGGAGGGGCCAAGCCTTTTGTTCCCACCCAGCAGTAATCAGGCACCCTGCCTGCTTGGGTGGGAGTCCGGGAGAGTCAGGACTTCACCAGTCTCCCAGCAGTAATGAGACCCCATGCTCCCATGCATGTTGGGAGCAGTAGTGAGACCCTCCAGCCCCTCCCAGCCAGGCAGTAGGAGTGGAGACCTTGTAGGGAACTCCATCCCTACCCAGCACTAACCCTTCCCAGTTTAGTTTATGAAAGTAGTTCTACCCTGATTCCCTAGCCAGACAAAGACTGCACAAAAAAAGAGACCCACGCACTAATGTTCCTCATGAATAGAGATGCGAAAATCTTAAAATATTAGCAAATAGAATTCAGCAATACATAAAAATAGAAACTTTGAAAAATGGGTTTATTCCAGGAATTGAGATAACACACAAAACAATGTATTTTTATAGCCTGACAATGAACTTGAGGATGTCAAAATTTAAAACAATACCATTTAAAATGCTCAAAAAAATGAGATACAGAGGTATAAATACAGTAAGCATGCACAGGATTTGTATTGCAGGAAACTGTACCGTGCTGATGAAAGAAATCAATGGTCTAAATAAATGGAGACCCATACTAAGTTCAGGGATTGAAGAACTTGAAAAAGTAAAAATATCAGTTTCACCCAAATTGATATATGAGTTTAGCACAATCTCTATCAAAATCACAGTCAGATTTTTGTGGATAAGGACAAGATTGTTTGAAAATTTATAGGACTAAACAAGGGAAATAAAATAGCAAAAACAATTTTGAAAAAGAAAAATAAGATGGGAGCAGATAGCTCAACGAAATCTAAGAGAGAATCCAGAAACAGACCCACACAAATATCCCCAACTGATGTTTGACAAAGGTGCAAAAGCAATTCAAGGCAGAAAAGTGTACATTTCCAAAAAAAACCAAACCAAAACAAAACAAAAACGTTCTGGAGCAGTTGGACATTTATAAGCAAAAAAATAAACTTTGACCTATGTCTTACATTGTATACAAAACTCAAAATGGATCATGGACCTAAAATGTCAGACATAAAACTATCAAACTTTTAGAAAAAAATCAAGAGAAAATCTCGGGTTCTGGGATAAGCAAAGAATTCTGAAACTTGACACCAAAAGCGTGGCCCATAAAAGGAAACATCGCTAAATCAGACTTCATCCAAATGAAACAGGTTCCCTCTGCAAAAGACCCTGTGAGAGGAAGAAAAGACAGCTTGCCCAATAGGAGAAAATATTTACATCCTGCATATGTAACAGAGGACTAGCCTCTAAAACCTGTAAAGAACTCTCAGAACTCAATAGTGAAAGAACAATACATTACAATTAGAATATGGACCAAAGAGGGGCACCTGGTTGGCTCAGACAGTAGAGCTTTCATCTCCTGACCTCAGGGTTTTAAGATCAAGCCCCACACTGGATATGGAGATTATTTGAAGATAAAATCTTTTCTTTTCTTTTCTTTTCTTTCTTTCTTTTTTTTTTTTTTTAAGAAGAATATGGACAAAAGACATGAAGAGACATTTTACCAAGGAGGATATACAGATGGCAAATAAGCACAGGCAAAGATGTTCAATGTCGGGGCGCCTGGGTGGCTCAGTGGGTTAAGCCTCCACCTTCACCTCAGGTCATGATCTCAGGGTCCTGGGATAGAGCCCTGCATTGGGCTCTCTGCTCAGTGGAGAGCCTGCTTCCCCGCTCCCACCCCCCCGCCCCTGCTTACTTGTGATTTCTGCCTGTCAAATAAATAAATAAAATCTTAAAAAAAAAATGTTCAATGTCATTAGCTATTTGAGAAATGCACATTGAAACCACCATAATCAACATGACTAAAATAAAAAAAAAATGTGACACCACCAAATGCTGGTGAAGATAGAGAGAGAAAGTGGATCCCTTGGGGCTGGGAATGTACAATGCTCACTGCTCTGGAAAGCAGTTTGACATTTTCTTAAAAACTAACTACGCATCTGCCATATGACCCAGCAATGGTTCCCCTGGGTACTTACTTAAGAGAGCAGACTTGTACAAGAACTTACACAGGAATGTTCATAGCAGCTCTACTTGTAATAACCCTAAACCGGAAACAGCATGGATGCTCTTGAATAGTTGTTCTTAAGAATGTTGGTTAGGGGTGACTGATGGGCTCAGTTGGTAGAGTTTGTGACTCAATCTTAGAGTTGAGCGTGAGCCCCACATTGGGCATGGAGCCTACCTAAAAACAAAAATGAGTCAACAAAGATAGTTGATAGTTAAAAAAACTGTGGTATACCCATACCATCGAAAACAATTTAGCAATAAAAAAACAAATTATTGATACGTTCAACAATGTGGTTGAATCTCCAGAAAATTACATTGAGTGAAAAGACAATCCCAAAAGGTTATATACTGTGTGACTCCATTTATATAACATTGTTGAAAGGACAAAATGATAGAGATGGACAACAGATTAGTGGTTAAGGAGGACGTGGGGTGGACCGGAATGGGTGTGGCTCTAAAAGGGTAACAGGAGGGATCCTTGTGGTGACAGAAATGTGCTGTATTTTCACTGCATCTGTTCCAATATCCTGATTGTGATATGGTGCTATAGGTTTGCAAAATGTTACCACTGGGGGAGATTGGGTAATAAGTTACAGGGCGTCTTTCTGTGTTATTTCTTAACTGCATTTGAATCTATAATTATTTCAAAACAAAAGTTTAGTTGAAAAAAACTAACAAGGGGCGCCTGGGGGGCTCAGCGGGTTAAAGCCTCTGCCTTCGGCTAAGGTCATGATCTCAGGGTCCTGGGATAGAGCCCTGCACTGGGCTCCCTGGTCAGCGGGGGACCAGCTTCCCCCCTCCCTCTGCCCTTCCCCCCACTCATGTTTTCTCTCTTTCTCCAATGAATAAAATCTTAAAAAAAAAAAAAAAAAGGGAGGGCATCTGGGTGGCTCAGTGGGTTAAAGCCTCTGCTTTCAGCTCAGGTCATGATCTCAGGGTCCTGGGATGGAGTCCCGCATCGGGCTCTCTGCTCAGTGGTGAGCCTGCTTCCCCTCCCCCGTCTCTGCTTCCCTCTCTGCCTACTTGTGATTTCTGTCTGTCAAATAAATAAATAAAATCTTTAAAAAAAAAAAGGGGAAAGAAAACAAACTATCAGGAAGCAGCGTAAAACCCAGAGGTGAAGACATTGAATTTGCAGAAGGCTCTGGTAACAAAGCTGTATTGCCGGAGGGTGATTCCTTCACAGTGGCAAAAATGGCCACTGCACCTGCAGGCTGACTTTGTCGCAGCCTAGCAAGCCTGGCGGACAGAGTTAGGACCATCTTCCCCAGTAGTACCAGCAGATTGTCCTCAGCGGCTTAGGGTCGGGAGCCATGGGGGCCACACTGGTGGTTGAGGGTCCTCTGAGTTGTTTGCCCCGGGCGTGAGGTGCAGGTAGGAGCACAGCCTTTGCTCATGGCTCCTCTTCTCCCGCAGGCGCTCACTGCTGTTTTACTCCGCCTCCCTGGTCCCTAGCAGCCGTCGTGCTTATTCCGATGAGGTGAAGCCGGTGAGTGGCAGCCCTGCTATGGTGGTCACAGCCCTTCCCTAGGGGCCCCCAGCCCTGGGCCACTTCAGAGCGGGGCTTCAGTGCCCCTGGGATGCTTGGAACCACTTTCTCACTCTCTCAACCGCCCCACCCCTGCCAAAGATAAAGTTAGGGGTTAAGAGTTCAGATTTGGGATTCTCTCTCTTCCAGCTCTACCACGGGCTGACTACTTTGGGCATTTAGAAAATATGTCTCCTCACTTGTAACCTGGTGTAATAATGCTACTTACTGTGTAGAGTTACTGTGAGGTATTAAATAAGAAAAATGTGTGCGGAGTGCCTTGCACAGAGTAAGAAATGATAAATACTGTGGTGATGGGGGGTGGTGATGCTGGGGGTTGTAGATGAGGAAACTGAGGTCCAGAAGGGGGCAGTGACTTCCCCAGGTAGCATTGCCAGTTGGTGGCAGAATTTGGGTTAGAACCTCGTCTCCTGATTTGGAGTGCCAAGCACTCTGCTCTATTATGGTGCTAATCTAAGAGCCAAGGGCAGGTGGGCAGGGCTGGGACTGGCCCACTTAGGAAGCACTAATTGTCACTGCCCAGAGGAGGTTTGCTTGGTCACTATGCTCTTGGGATCCTGGGTTCCTAATGTGGGGTCTGATCTTCTGAAACAGGTTGGCAGCAAAGCCGTCCTGGTCACAGGCTGTGACTCGGGATTTGGGTTCTCCTTGGCCAAGCATCTGCATTCAAAAGGCTTCCTTGTGTTTGCTGGCTGCTTGATGAAGGTAAGAGAAGGGTCATTTTTGTCACCATTGTCCTTCACATAGTTACTATTTTGTAGGGTTTTAAAAATTGTAGTAAAATACACAAAACATAAAATTTACCTTAACCTTTTTTTTTTTTTTGGAGAGAGATTGGGATGGGGAGGGGCAAAGGGGGTGGGAGAGAGTGAGAATCTTAAGCAGGCTCCACACCTGGTATAGAACCCAATGGTGGGCTTGATCTCATGACCCTGAGATCATGACCTGAACCAGAATCACGAGTTGGACACTTAACTGACTGAGCCACCTAGGCGCCCCTATGTCTTAACCATTTTTAGGTGTACTGTTCGGTGGTATTAAATAGATTCCCATTACTCCCATCCATCCCCATAACATTTTTCATCTTGTAAAACTGAGACTGTACCCAATAACAATAACTGTCCATTTTCCCTCTGTCTACCCGCTGGCAACCACCACTACAATTTCTGTTTTTATAAATTTATCTGTTCTAAGTACCTCATGTAAGTAGAATTTTATAGTATTTGTCTTTTTTGTGACTGGCTTATTTCACTTGGCATAATGTCCTCGAAGTTTATCCCTATTGTAGCATATTACAGAATCTGTTTCCTTTTTAAGGCTGACTAATAGTCCATTACATGTATATATCACATTTTGCTTATCCATTCATTTGTCATTGGACACTCAGGTTGCTTCCAACTTTTAGCTATTGTGAAAAAGGATGCTACAAACATGGATGTATGAGTATCTCTTTAAGACCCTGCTTTCAATTCTTCTTGGTATACACCCAGAACTAGAATGGCTAGATCTCATGGTAATTCTGTTTTTAACTGAGGCACTGCCATACTGTTTTCCACAGTGGCTGCACCATTTTACATTCTCACCGATAGTGTACAAGGGTTCCAGTTTTTCCACATCCTTACCAATACTTTTTTTTTTTGTAGCTATTTTAAGGCTGAGGTTAGTATCTCATTGTAGTTTTGATCTGCATTTCCCTAATGATTAGTGATGGTGAGCATCTTTTCATGTGCTTATTGGTCATTCATATATCTTCTTTGGAGAAATGTCTATTCAATTTCTTTGCCCAGTTTTAAACTGGATTGTTTGTTGTTATTGTTGTTGAGTTTTAGGACTTATATATTCTGGATATAAATTCCCTATCGGATATATGATTTGTATATATCATCTCCCATTCTATGGTTGTTTTTTTATTCCAGAGGTGGTGTGTCTTGATGTACAAAATTTAAAAATTTTTATGAAGTCTGATCTGCCAATTTCTTCTTTTGTTACCTGTGCCTTTGATGTCATGTCCAAAAAATCATTGCCAAATGCAAAGCTGTGACGCTTTTGTTCTGTTTCTTCTAAGCACTTTATTTTGGGGGGTCTTATATTTAGGCCCTTGATCCATTTCAAATTAATTTTTGTGTGTGGTATTAGGTAAGGGTCCAGCTTCTTTCTTTTGCATGTGGACACCCAGTTTTCCCAGCACCATTTGTTGAAAATACTGTCCTTTCCCCCTCATTGAATAGTCTTGGCACTCCTGTCAAAAATCACTTGACCATCTCGGTCACTTCTTCTATTCCATTGTTCCATATGCCTGTCTTTATGCCAGTTTTAGACTGTTTTGGTTAGTGTAGCTTTGTGATAAGTTTTGAAATCAGTAAGTCTGTATCATCCAGGTTTGTTCTTCTTTTTCAAGATTGTTTTGGCTCTTTGGGGTCCCTTGAGATTTCCTATGAATTTTAGGACATGTTTTTTGGCAAAAGACACCCTTAAGATTTAGACACGTATGGGATTAAAATCTGTAGATTGCTTTCAGTAGTATGTACATTTTAAGAATATTAAGTCTTCTGATCCATGAATGGGGGACGTGGTTCCATTTATTTCTGCCTTCTTTTACTTCTTTCAGAAATGTTTCATAGATTTCATTGTACAAATCTTTAACCTCCTTGGTTAGGTTAATTCCTAAGTATTTTATCCTTTTTGATGCTACCATAAGTGGGATTATTTTTGTAATTTCCTTTTCAGGTTGTGTGTTGTTTGTGTAGAGAAATGCAGCTGCTTCTATGTGTTGACTTGATATCCTTCTACTTTGCTGAATTCATTTATTAGTTCCAATAAGTTCTCTGGGGGAATCTTTAGGGTTTTCTGCATATAAAGTCATGTCATCTGAAAACATAATTTTCCTTCTTCCTTTCCAATTTGGATGCCTTTCATCTCTTCAACAGACTCCAGAGTTCCAAAATAGTGCACCTGTCTAGGTGGGGAAAGAGATTCCTGGTGCTTCCTACTTTCCTGTCTTCCCAGAATCCCACTTCAAGCTGATTATTTAATACCAGGACTACCCAGGACTTGGACTGGGGTTGGTAGTTGTGTTTTCATTGCTTTCTTAACGATTGGTTCATCTGTCGTTTTAGACAGCCCATACCTTTTCTCTTCACTTCTGTCTCACTTGTTCTTCATAGCTTTGTTCATTCATTCATTTACTCGTCCATTTGGCAAATGTTCCTGATGTGCCTGCCCCTTTGATAGGTGCTGTAGAAGATGATACCCTGGTCCCTGCATTTAGGAAGCTCCATGTCCAGTGGTGAAGGACAGCCATGCACAGACTTACGTGGAAGAGTTAGAGTGAAGAGGGTTCTCAGAGTTGTGTGGAGTGTTTAACGAGAGTGCGTAGAAGGAAGGGGTTGATCCTGGTCTGGCAGAGGAGGGGACATCCATTCTGGACCATGGAGAATAAGTAATGCTGTCCCAGGTAGCGACTGAGGATCCTTTGCAATTCATCAAGTGGAATTTAGGGTGTCTGAAGGGAAGCCCTGGGCCTTGAGGCTCCAAAAGGGAGAGGGGATGGTTCTTCCAATTTGGAGAATTGCGCAACCTCACCACAGTCCATCACTTGGAAATTTCTCTCTTGACTGTCTGCACTTGAAGCCCCATACCAACCCCTGGTCCTAGGTAGCACGGATTTCTGTCTCTTTAGATTGGCCTTTCCTGGACTATTCCTGCATGGAATCGTACAACGCATAGGCTCTTGTGGCAGGCTTTTTTCACTCAGCATAACGTTTTTGAGATTCTTCATGTTGTAGAAAGTATCGGTAGTTCCTTCCTTTTTATTACTGGATAGTATTCTATTGGACGGATATACTACATTTAAAAAATTAATTCACTAGTTGATGGATATTTGGATGAAATGTTTGGGGTTTTGGCCACTATGAATTATGCAGCTATGAATATTCGCATACATGTCTCTGTGTAGATATGTTTTTACTAATTCCTTTTAACAGATTTTAGAAACCAACATCAGTGCTCTTTGTCCCTCTCTGTGGACAGAGGTAGACGATGTATAGATAATCACATGGCATATACATGCACACATGATATTTATTTATATTTATCTCCTACGTGCATTTCCTATAAATACCGCATGCTCACACACACACACACATGCTCACACACAAACATATAATTCATGAGGTTATATTGACCTTCTAATCCTCTTCAACTCAACAGCATTCTTCCTTGCTTCCCTCATTCCATATTTGTTTCTTCCTTTTTCTGCCACTAGAACCTTGATCCCCAGCTACATCAATATATTTACTCATTTGGTCAGTCCTATAATTGCTTCAGAATTGCTATGTTGATACCATCACAAACACAAAACTCCTAAGTTGTGTTGTCAGCTTGGTTCCTCCAAGAAGCAGATACCAAAATAGGATAGAATGTGCAAGAGATTCATTCAGGAAGAGCCTGTGATGGCTAAAGGGGAATAGGGCAGGAAAAGGCATGAAAATCCTGTAGATTTTCAGTGTTATTCTGGGGCTCCTGACTGGCTTATAGGGACTGTGTAATTTCACATTCCCACCAGTAATGTATGAGAGTATCTGTTTCCACACGATTTCCCCAATAGTGTACTTGAAGCTTTTGGTTTTTGCCAGTCTGATAGGTGAGAAATATACCCCAGTACAGTTTTAATTTGCATTTCTTCTGTTGTGAATGCATGCCCTGGTCTTTAAAGGCATGAATGACCCAGAAGCTGCCATATAGCAACCTGCGGTCTCCCTCTATTGGCCAGAACTTAGTCACATGGTCTTACCTGGCTGCGCTAGGGAAGCTGGGAAATGTAGTTCGTATTCTGAGAAATGTACCTTGCTTGAAGTCAGGGGTTCTACTGCTATAGAAGAAGGGAAGAATGGGGCGTTTGGGACAATTTGCTGTCTCTGCTCTGTAGATGAGATATTTTCTTTATATTGAAGGCAGTAAGAATCCAGAGAAGGAATTATTTTAAAACAAGTTTTAATATCTACAAAAACAATACCTGTTCAATGTAAAAGTTTCAGTAATATAAACAAAAATAATAAAGTCATTTGCATTGCCACAGTTTGAACATATATTCAGATCAGGGAGGGTTTATTTGTCCTTTTAATTTTTCCTTCTTTTGAATTATGCAAGTAGTACGTATTTATAATAGATTCAAACCTGACAGAAGTGGATGATGGAAACAAGTGGAGTCTTTTTACTGCAGTCTCTTGCCGCAGAGTAACTAAAATGTATGTGTGCACATTATTTGTGACCTTTGCTATTATACTCCAAGCCACAATGAATCATCTTACACATATCTTTGCTTGCTTTCATTAGTAATTCTTAGAAAAATTTTCTAGATGTGAAAATATTGGGTAGAAAGGTGTGCAGATTTTTGGTTTCATTCAAGTCTGTCAAACTGCTGTTCCCAAAAGCCACACCAATACCTGCTCCCTCTGACATGCATGCAAAAACCTGTTTCAGGATGGATTTGGGGGTGATGGGTGGGGCATGCTGGAGTTGGGTTCTCCGCATAATGTGGACCTGCTTCAGCATGTCCTCGCAGGTGCTGGGATGCCACAGAATGTTTCGTACCTCTGAAGTTCCTTCTCCATGTTTCTAGCACCTGTGCCATCATGCTGGCTTGTCCAGTGGTGCAGGGACTGTATCTCGACTCCATAGTCCAGGGCAGAGTCTGCTGAGTGCTG